TGGAGTTGAGAAACATATTTGCCACAATTAACTGGCAGAGGAGACCCAATGGGCCGACTGGCCTAAGTCTGCTCCTATCTCATATGGTCATCCATTGCAAAATTAGGCAAAATTACTTTGTAACCACATAGCAACATTTGTGTGCATGTCCTTCACAACACTCTTACTGGTTATTGCTATCAGGAAAATGTTACAGTCTATTATAAAGCATGAAATAGCAGAACATTTAGAAATACAAAATATGATCTAGCAGAATCAGCATGGCTTCATGAAAGGGAAATCATGCCTGACTAATTTATTAGAATGAACTGCCAGACAAGTGGTGGAGGCTTGTACAATGACAACATTTAAAAAGCATCTAGATGAGTACATGAATACCAAGTGTTTAAGAGGGATATGGGCCAAATGCTGGCAAATGGGACTAAATTAATTTAGGATATCTGGTCGGCATGGACAAGTTGGACCGAAGCTGCACAGCTCTATGACTCTATGACAGCAACAAAACAAAGGTCTGCAGATGCTAGAGATCTGAAACAAAATCATAAAAGAAATTAGTGGTGAAACTCTGCAGGTTTGGTAGTATCTGTTCTGATGAAGAGTCACCGGACTCAAAAAGTGTTAACTCTGATTTCTTCCAACAGATGCTGACAGACCTGCTGAGTTTTACCAGCAATTTCTGTTTCTGAAAGAGAAGAGAGTTGGGATAAGGAGGGCATTTTCAGGATGGCAACCAGAACCTGGTGGTGTGCCACAGGGATTAGTGTTGGGGCCACAATTATCTACAATATATTTTCATGACTTGGATGATGGAAGTGAATGTACTATTGTCAAGTTTGCAGACACAAAAATAGGATGGAAAGGCAAATGGTGAAGATGACAAAAGTAGTCTGCACAAGGATATAGGTTAAGTGAGTGGGCAAAAACATGGCAGATGGAATATAATGTGATTAAAAAATGATATTATGCACTTTGGCAGGAAGAATAGAGGAGTGAATATTATTCAAATGGGAAAATCCTCAGTCTATGAGTCACAAAAAACTAGCATCAAGTTCAGCAGGTAATAGGGAAGGCAAATGGAATACTGGCTTTTATTTCAAAGGGAATGGAGTATAAAAGTAGGAGGTTTTGCATACACTATACAAGGCACTACTTAATCTGTGGAATTCTTTGCTGCAGAGAACTCTCCAGACTGAGTTGTTGAGTATATTCAAGGCTGTCTCCAATTAAGGTCCTGTAAAATTCCTTGAAGAGCTTCTTAATGGACTAGAGAGATTGAGCAGGCAATTTTCAATCTGTAAATTACCAAATGTGATCATCCAATTTAAAATACTTAGCTGAACATGTAATGTGGCTCATTTTCATTTACTAAAAGTGACATTCGTATACAGAAGCCTGTTCCATACAAACAAGAGGAATGCCTACAAACCTTCACCTTCTTTGACTTACCTGGAAACAGTCTAGGTAGGTCCCTATTGCTTTCACCATGGCAACATTCTCAACTCATCAGAGCCAACTTGTCATCCACTCACCATCCTTTCCTCCCACTGTATAAATTGTTCTAATTGGTTGAAATTTGGCATTCTTGCATTTTTGGGCGATAACGGCAAGACAAAAGCTTCTTCAAAATGTCTTTCCTTTTAGTAATATTCTACTTCTGTTCTACCAAGCAACTACTTAGGTGAACACTGCTCCTCCTTCCCCCATTCAGTCTTTTCCACCTTCTGGTTATCAGTCGAAAGATACAACGGATTTTCCCTTCTCAAGTCCATCTGAGAAGCCCTGGCAAAAAGTTCTCTTTTCTTCCATGTTTTAACTGGTACTGCTCAGAAGACCAACTCTCAATTCCAACAGCTTCATAAGAATTCCAGGAGGGCTGAAAATCCGAGGGGAGGAAAATGCCATTTTATATTGGAGCACAGGGTAGTTACCTTGGTGTAACCCAGTTCTGAAGAATGTAAGCATTTGTGTACAAATTTAAAATTTTGTTCTCATCAAACTGATTAATATTATTACTAACATTAAAGTGGTACAGCAACTGCACCATTAATTCAAGTGCACTTGGTGCACTGCAATCAGCAAACAACTTAAGTGATCAGTCAAAGTTTCGCCTGACACTGCCGAAGTGTTGAGTACTCCTTTACTCCTCTCAGAAAAGGGCAATAAGATTGCATGAGAATTTATTGAAATGGCCGCTAATTGTATAAGAGACAGTAAGAACTGCCGATGCTGGAGTCAGAGATGACACAGTGTGGAGCTGGAGGAACACAGCAGGCCAGGCAGCATCAGAGGAGCAGGAAAGCTGACGTTTTGGGTCGGGACTCTTCTTCAGAAATGGGCCATTTCTTTGCTGCTCCTCTGATGCTGCCTGGCTTGCTGTGTTTCTCCAGCTCCACACTAATTTTATGCACCTGGTTAAAAGGACTGTGTGTCAACTATAATCTGTTAAAGAAAAAGAAGCCATAAGATACACTAGTTATAAAGTTTATAAAAACTACTGAATCAAAAGTCAACCTTATTTTATTGTCACTGAAAAAAGATTTGGAGAATTGACTGACAAAAATAACTTAATCTTGCTAGACTATAATATAGGAACTGCTCACAAGTTTCATATTTAATTCTCTACGGTGAGGCCTGGTCACAGGGTAACGTGTAGATGAATATAACTTAGCATGCAATGGATTTCTATGTCACAATACTCTAAAGCTTATTCCAAAACATTATTGAAAACATTACTTGAAAAGAGATTTGTTAGCCCAAATCAAAAGTGGTATTTTAAATCAGTGCTAGTGAGATATTAATTTGCATCAATAAATCTGTACAAAGGGGGAATTGTTCATTTTTCTATTCAGCTTCATCTAATTTCTGTACACTTGCTTCAAGTGCACTGGCTTGGTTAACATTATGCAAATACATCTGCTGCTAAAATCAACAAAATCATGTTTCAGCGCACGACATTGCACTTATTTTGGAAAATGCTAAACTGATTTCATTATCATATTGAAAACTAACATACACTGAAGGCAAAAAATATGAATCATTGTTGAAAGCTAATTCATCTATTCCTAACCAAAGTCAATCTGTTGTCTGGATCAAGTGACTGTACTTTTGCACTGACTTATAACAGCTCCAGATACATATCAAATAAAAAAAAGATGAATTGTAGAGATTTATAGGTATTCAATCAGTTTGCTTGAAATCTTGAAATCTCCCCCAACCAATCCATTTAATTTCCTGAGGAAAGCTTCTGCAATGTATTATATCTGTAGGTAGTTTTCCCTTGTGGGCTAACAGATATTCATATTTACATGTGGAATTGACTAGCTAAGGAAGAACTGGTGATTAATGGTAAACCAAGATCCAGTACAGCCGAATATCAATTTAGAAAATGATCTGGTAATGAGAGACCTGGACTTATCTGGGAAGCATCAATGTGGAAGCAACTAGGATGAAAACTGTTATTAAAAGAATCACGTTCAGAAGGTGTCCTCGGCTTAACAAAAGCCAATGCTATGTTTGTACTAAGCAGTACATATAAATAATAAGCCCAGTTAAACATTGGTATGACCTAAACCATTTCACCAGATACATTGTACCCTTACTCCGGATTCCATTTCCTTAACCAAGTGCCTACTCAAAACAAAGTTATTAGTGTACAACTTGTGTCCCAATTAATTGAACTGGATTTCAAACTATAAATTGGGTCTATTACAAAGTTCACTTTATCTCTGTAGTAGCTTTATTGCCAAAAATATCCTCAGTTTCAATCTTTACCTCAGTGCCACACCAGATAAGATCTCATTTTTGAAATTTGTTTGTTTCTTTGTTTGAGGCTTTGTTACCTGCAGGCTGCAGTTTTCCAATGTCATCTTAATAAGCTTCCCAAACTCCACTGCAGAATGTGGAGGTGCTGGTGTTGGACTGCGGTGCACATGGTCAAAAATCACATGACACCAGGTTATAGTCCAACAGGTTTATTTGAAGACACAAGCATTCAAAGTCTCACTCCTTCTTCAAGTGTCAGCACAGCACCCGTTGGATTATAACCTGGTGTAGTGTGATTTTTGACCTTGCCCACTGCAGTAGTTCCATCTGATTGAGACCAGTAGAATCCACTATCCCCCACAGCACCCAGTCTAGTTCTAAGTTTGATTTCCAAATCATGTCAGTCCTCAGTTACCTTCATTATTTCAAAGTATACTTGTTTCTTCACTCTACCTCTGTAATCTTCTCCAAAATTCATCCTCTGCTGCGTCAAGGTTTGTTAGACGTCTCCTCCATGGTATCAATAACACATTAACCTTGGAAGAACTCTTAAGTCTTAACTCTGGAATTCTCTTCCTATATCCTTCTGTCTTGCTACATATTTACCATGTTCTCAAGTGAAACTTTTCCACCAGGTCTTTGGCTGCTTTCCTTACTCTTCGCATAATTTCTGTTTAGTACCTGTTACACATTTTCAAAGCAACTTGGGATATTTAATTGTGTTAGAAACATAATAAATTAATGCAGTAGCTGTTGTTATAGAAGGGAATCAGTGCTAAATATTTTCAAATTAAAGCTGATTGCTATAATGCATATCGTTATCATTTAAACATTTAGGGTACTTCCTTCTCCAGTAATCTAAAAATGGCATTGTGTGGCACTACAGTTAAAAAGATGCTAATACTGAATGTCTCAAATCTTCAACTAGCTTGCTTTATGAATGTTTTTTCAGTTTTTTTTTATAAATGCCATCTTAATTTCATAAATCTGTTTAAGAATTATGCACTAGTAGTTCTTGTGAATCAGCATAAATTCTATATCTTTAAGACAGGAGATTTTCTTGGATTTGAGCCCAAATGCACTGGATCATCTGGACACAGGGAACATTAGGAGGACTGACATGTACACATGTCCACACATAGGAACCCGCCTAATCTTCACTGGGTCAAGTTGATCCAGATGGGAAATCTTTCTCAATATTACATTTGTGACAAAGTGCTGCTCATGATGTTACTTACCTGAGTGAGAACATCCAGCTGTCCTACTATGTGCTCCAGAGTACTTGCAAGAGCTGAGGGGATACCATTGCCTTCTTGCTGGTGAAACTGGCTTAAGGGAGGAATGGGTTTTTCATCTGATGCCAGAACATTGCTTGAATGGCTCTTTTGTTGACTTAAGTTAGCTGACCCAGTGTCTGAAAAGTTTGTCTCCAAAACAGTCTAAAACACAAACAGAAGTTATTTAAAAACTAGCACATTGGTCAAGGGCAACCTTAGTCATAATGCTTTTTTGCAGAATCGTCCAAGATCATTAATATTGACATACTGAGTTCCCACAATATTTCAATTGCTTTAGTAAGTTGTATGTACACATAAACAAGCAGCTGTGCAATAAACTCTGCAGTTTATGATTAATATTCTGTTTGTTCTATACAAATATTAAATTAAAACTTTCCCACTCAGAGATTGCTACTTACCTTTCCCACCAACAGTGTTTTCCTTTCTTGTAATGTTGCATGGAGATCTAAAAGACTGGTTTTTACATGGAATAGATTTTAAAATATGAAATTCTTGTTTTGCTGCGCTTAGCAAAACTTAGATAGGCCACACTGTTCAGTTCCAGTTTTGCAAGACAGACTCTGAAACTAATATTTTAAAAATTTCTTTCATACATTTTATCGAACATAGATTTGGAGATTCTACTATACGGGGGGTTGCGCAAAGGGACCAATTTACGAATATAGCAGTAAATAAAAATTTAAATAGGAATTTCAAGTGGAAATTTTAATTGTTAAAAACTCAATACATCTTACTCATATTATATTCTCATATTATAGTCCCGTGTGTGCTGTTTATCTCGTGCTCAAACTGATCAGCAACAACATAAAACATACAAAGTAGTGTGCTTATATCTGTACTATACACTTCGCCAACTGGAATTTCTATCCTTTTATTGTTACTTCATATATAGAGCATTAATAATTTTTCATTTTATTCCTTCTAGTGTCCAATTATCCCAAACTTTTCACTCAAAACTACTATAATTTATTTCAATTGATACATTTGTGTCAGCTGATTTTAAAAATCTATCATAAAATTTGCTGTGCAATTTTCTTTCCTGAATGAATTATTCTTGGTTAAGAACTCTGAGCTATTTTCAAAGTTTTACCTGAAAATGACAAGTGTGGCTCTTTTTCAGTGTCTGAATATGTCTTAATAAACTCTCTGAGATGGTGAATCATCCACTACATGATGTAAGGTGTACAATTTATATATTTTAAGCCATTCGTTTGAAAGTTTGGATTTTAAACTACTAGCATGTGAGTTTTGATTGGTGTGTATAGTGTGGGGTGGATGAGGTGAGTAGTTTAATAATTATTTTGTCAGTATTTCCTGAGTCACGTTTTTTAAAAACTAGTGTAATGAGAAAGACTTCATGGGTTCATAATGGGAACTTGTTTGCTTTGGGAAAGTTTTATGAGCAGAAACAGTAAGCATTGAGGAGCATAACCTTGCTTTCTGTTTAGAAGGATCAAGAATTGCTCGTATTATTAGGAGATAATTCTGTAACTTGGAAAGCTTTAGGGTTCAGTTTGCAAAGATTGTCATGGAAGTTAAATCTGTGAAATAGAGTTCCTCCTGAAGAAAGGAGACAATTTCAAGCTCTTAGGAAATTGGTGACCTCAGTGTAAGGGTTTCAGTTTAAAAGTTGCAGACCAAAAATGAATCTTGAGGGTCATTCGAAGTTGAGAAAATCTAAGCTCAGTCGTGTAGCAAATCAGTTGACTTGATCGATATAATAGAAAAGCAAACTCTATCTGGTGTTCAAGTCCTGTAAACTGATGATTTGGGACAGATGATCTGGCATTTTTACGGTGTGTCTCGGAATCTTTCAATTTTTGTGCAATAACTTAAATAGCTTGGTATATTGTTATTATTTCCTTTCCTTTTGCGTAATAGCCTTTCATTATTAAAATCTGCAGCATTGTGTATTTGTGTTTCAGTGAATGACAACCTTGTTAAATAAAAAAAAATCTCTCAAGCTGGATTTCAGTCTGGGATTTGACTTGTCTAGAACAATATCAATTAGGATCATAACTTCTTGGAGAAACCAGAAAAAAAACCTCAGATTTCTACTATCAGAGAAAACCCAAACGGCCAAAACCTTTCAGTTTAGCAATTTAAAGTTAAAATGTGGAAATATGATAACTTTTGGACGTCAAGAAATGTAGTTGATAATTACTACTAAAAATTTCCTATTATGAGACAGATTACAACAGTGTGCCAGAAATTTTGTGTTTTACCCAAATAGGCATAACTATGTACAAATCCCAATGCAGGATAGAAACATGGGACATACAAACATAGAAAATAAGAGCAGCAGTAGGCCATTCAACACTCTGAGCCTGCTCCTCCATTCAAGATAATCATGGCTGATCATTCAGCTCATTACTCTTATATGCTTTCTCCCATTCCCTTTGATCACTTTAGCCTTAAGAACTACATCTAACTTCTTTGTGGAGGACATTCAATGTTCTGAAAGCCTCAATTGCTTTCTGTGGCAAAGTGTTTCACAGGTTTACCACTCCTCCTGGTGAAGAAATTTTGCATCTGAGTCCTAAATGGCCTATGCTGTAAACTTGAGCTGTGACCCCCTAGTCATGGAAAATATCCTTTCTATGTTTATCCTCTATAGTAGTGTTAGAATTTTAAAGGTTTCTATGAGATTTGCTCACATAATTTTTCTAAACTCCAGTGAATATAGCTCTCATTGATCCAGTCTCTTTTCATTTATCAGTCCTACCATCCCTGCAATCAATCAGTCTTGTAAAGCTTTGTTGCATTCCCTCCATAGCCAGAACATCCTTCCTTAAGTAAGGAGACTGAAAGTGTACACAATATTTCTAGTTTAAAAGCAGCATTGCTGCAACATCTGAGAGAAAATTCTGACATTAGATAGTGCCATAAATCAGATGATATTGGAGCAGTCACCTGTTAAACATTCCTGCGGATTTTTATATCTGAAATTAATATCTCTGGAAAGGTGTTCAACAGGTGGCTGATCTGATCTCACTTTTACACCATCGTCCTAATCAAAGACTGCCCACATCAAGTTTAAAATTTCAAACAAATATGCATTTCAAACAGGAGCAAAGTTCAGAATCATTACCTTACCCTACAACTAAATGACAAGGATACCTGTAGGCATCAACTGAAGACAAATTGTAATAAAGAAAATTCACCACAGTTAGTCCTGCATCTTCAGAGGAGGTGAACAATGTGGCAACAAGGTGCAATTGAAAAATCTCAAGGCCAACTGACCTGATCAGGAAATGAGGAAAATAACTCAAGAATCATCCCCCATGTGATCTTGACATTGCTACAAACATTGGAGGAAACAATTCAATCAGCCTGCACTTGTGATACTTAAGAGTGAGGAGGTCATTTCGTCGTTGCAAATTAAGTTTATAAAAATGACTTTTTGATATTTTACATTTTATATTACTGAAACAGATTTTTGTACAAAGACAGAAGGGAAAGAGTAATCGTAATTAAACTAATGACTAAGTATAGCGAGTAGATGCGACTATAACTCAACTGTAGCCAGCAAATAAGATACCTGACTAGACTTTGATAGAACTGGGATAGGCACTGAAAATATAATCTCTTCAGAGAGCGACTTTTTGTGTAAAAAAAAAATCCCAGCCCAATAGGTCAACTTCCAACACTTCACCCGAAGAAGGAGCACCGTGACGAAAGCTGGTAATTTCAAACAAACATGTTAGACTATAACCTGGTGTCATGTGACTTCAAACTTCCAAGACAACAGCAAATCATTTTTTTTAAAAGATGATTTTCAAACCTTGATTACATTTGAACATTCAAAATAGGAACAGACAACCATTCTCCCCCTCAAGCCTCTTCTAACAATCAGTAAGATCAAGGCTGATCTGTTTGTGTTTCAAATCCCATATTCCTGTCTACCCCAAATAACCCTGGATTCCCCGTCTAACAAAAATCTATCCATCTCTGACTTAAAAATGTTAAATGATCCTGCTTCCACTGCCTGCTGAGGTAGAGTTTCAAAGTCACACAGCCCTCAGAGAAAATTTATTTCATCTCTGCCCTGAAAGGATAACTCTAATTTTAGAACAGTGCCCCTTCTAATCCCAAAGAGGAAACATGCTGATCACGTGCACCTTGTCAAGAACATTCAGAATCATATATTCTTCAGTCAGTCACCCCTCACATTCTTCTTAACTCCAGTGGAAACAGAGCCAGCCTCTCCAACCTATCCTCATAAGATAGCTTATTCATTCCCAGTAATGATCTACTAAACCTTCTTTGAAATGCCTCCAATGAATTTACATCCTTCTTAAATGAGCAGACCAAAATTTGCACACAATTCTGAGATGTCATCTCACCAATTCCCTGTATAACTGAATCATAGCGTTTTATTTTATGTTTAGTTCCTCTCATTATGAAGGACAACATCCCATCAGCCTCTTGATTATGTGCTGTACCTGCATATTTACGTTTTGAGACTTATGGGCCAGAATACTAAAATCCCTCTGCACCTTGGAATTCTGGAGTCATTCTCTGCTTAAATAATACATTGCTTTTAAATTCTTCTTCTCCAAAATGAACAATTTCATATTTTCCCATGTTATACTGCATCTGTCAGATATTACCTACTCTCTCAATCTCCTTCTACCTTCTTCATACTTTCCTACCTGTCTTGGTGTCATCTGCAAATTTAGTCACCGATCCTTCATTCCCCACATCTATGTCATTGGTGGAAATTCTAAACATATGAGCTCATATCCCTGCAAGACTTCACTCATCATATCCTACTAAATCAGACACTTTTATGCATATTCTGTTTTCTGTCAGCCAGCCAATAACTATGCCAAAATGTTAGCCATTACACCATAAACTTCTAAAATTCCCAATTACCTTAGATGAGGCACTTTGTCAAATCCCTTTAGAAATCCAAATATAGTATGTCCACAGGATCTCTTTTAGCCATAGGTGAACTACTTGTTCAACAAACTCAAACAAGTTGATTAAAAAAAGTGATTTTCCTTTGTCAAAATCATAACGATTCCTCCTTGAAACCTTGAGATTTTCTAACTGAGTTGCTTTAATCACTTCTAACATTAAATTATTAAGTGTATAAGATCCTAAAGATTGTTTAAAACTCTGAAATGTAGCAACTTCCCCCAGCTCATGATTTAAAGCAGAGTTTTTGCAATACCCTGCCAACTTATTTCTGTCTTTGGAAACGGACACTGACACTGTCAACTTACATCCTCAACAAATAACTATGTCAAACCACAATCTCATTTCTCTCCACAAAAAGGAAATGCCGCACCTGAGTCCTAAGAATTGCTAATGATGAGGGATACCTTAGATGTAGGTTTAGAAGTGCACCTTTGAAGCCTGCAAAAAATCATTCCAAAAATGGGCATCAACATATTAAGTGTGAATTGCTCGTATGAAATGTTGTTGGCTGCCATTTTGAAATATCAAATAAAGCATTACGTGGGTAATTCACACTTAAAATTAACATAGCATTTTTACTCAATAAATGGAAGAATTTAGCCATTTAAAGATCCATATTGTCAATTTGTTTCTGCTAAGGAAGGCCCTACAAACTATATCTCCAGTTTTAACAGTGATTCCAATGAGAGTCAACATTTCATTGAAAGTTTTTTTCATATAAGTTGCAATTTTTAGGAATGCAACCCTGATTTTAACTGAGCACACTCTTTTTATAAATTAATATCACTATCTGAATGCACCTCCTAATAAAAGAGTCAACAGAATGAAAAAGTAGCCCCTTAAAATCAAGGAGCAGCCTTCAAAAATCAAAAGCAATCATCAAGAGGGGCCCTCAAAGAAGGAAACCATTTGTGCCCTGGTGTGGATATGTCTTAAACTCCTGTGCATCTTTGCAACACAGTCTGTATCACCTGCTCAGTCCCTCGTGCCCAGTCAGAAGATCAGTAAAACATATCATAATGGAATAGAAAATTGCAGCTGACTACTAATGTGATTATGGAATGTCATGGTTGAAAACAGAGGTTCACTTATTTGCTGAGTATATGCAGAGGCTTATATCACAATCTACAGATATATGCTAATTCCTTCTTTTGTAACAATTCTTTTCAGCAGCCAACAAACACCATAACCAACATCAAGAACAACCCCACTCTCAAATTTATTCAGATTAAACTACAAGGCCATCACAAATGCTACTGACTTCAAAAGGAGTAGACTTATTGGATTTATATTTAATAAATGAAATGTTTAGATACAAGAAGCACAAACATAATTATAATAAATTTAAGTCACTGGAAGTTCTGAGGCATGTTTTACAAGAAAAACACACATATATACAGATGGCAGATCACAGTACACAGTTCCATCACAGGTTACTTAGTTGTCATCAAGGATCTGCAGTAGAAAATTCATAGTGGCATTGTATTATACTGCCATATAGAAAGAAATTACTTATTCGGACACAGTTTTAAAAAAATTCTTTTCCTCAGAGAATGCATGTGATAAACTGCGAAGCTAAATTTCCCCATAAGATGCTACTATTCCCCTACTTTAATTTGAACTGACTTAGAATAAGCAGGGCAACTGGCAATGATCTTCACATCTGTTGACCAGGTGAGAGTTTAAGCACACGCAAGCAAGTTACATTCCAAGATGGAAATAATTGATATTTACAGAAAGCAGCAATACTGATATTTGTTTCAATTTTGAAACATAACATTTAGTCACGTTTTGGTTGATTATTCAGGATATCTGAATCACTAATCACAGCCCACTAATAAAATCATTTCATTTCAAATCATTCAATATCATTTGATTTCTTCTTGCAGATCTAATGTTAGTAAAAATCACAGTATGACACAGCTCAGTCAAAGCCTCAAACCAGTTTTCTAGCTTCAAACTAAGTGTGTGCTTTTCACTGGATTGACCTCTGGTCTTTCCTGACATGTTCTGTTCTGTTTGAAGATGCATTTGTTCTCCTGCCTTCACAAAAATATCTGGCATGTTAAACTGTTTCAAAGCCTATGGAAAGGTAACAGGAAGTAGTATGCACCTGCAACCTATAAATTATTCCATAGTGAATAAACCTATCTAATGGGTACCTGGAAGTTATCAAACAAACAAATTTAAAACAGGTGTTTATGCCAATGTTTAAAGCTAAGTTTCTGGTATCAACTCAGAATATCTTTTTAATGTATTGTGTTGTTCGCAAATTCTGCCATTACTTGGTTTGACATAAATTACATTTGTATTTGTTAGAGTTAACTGAAATAAATAAGTACTAAAAAAAATACAATTGACTTTTTTTTAAACCCTTGCCTCTCATAGCCCAACACTATAAACTATGGGCTGAACTTTACAAGGTGGGGGGGAACCCGAGAAAAGTCAGCACTGCACTAATCAATGTTCAACAAGGTGGCCCTGTGACCAATAATGTGTTCCGGATAGCAATGAGGTTGTATCGGACTTGTGCCTCTCAGTGGGGAGAAGTTCTGTTCTCTTGTTAAGTAGCAACTCTGGCATCCCCAGCAGACTGTAACTGAGTAATGGGAGCTGTGAGGACAAAAAAAAGTCTCTGGGATGAAGTCATTCATTGTGATTGGACACAGGTAATTCTGTGATTTTTGAATGAGGGGTGATTGGGCAGCCAAGGGAAGGCTGAGGGGATTGGAGGAGGCTGGGGGGAGGCAGCTTTACGGCCAGGTGGAGAGGAGCCCAACATTTTGTGGATACACCACAGTAAGATGCCTCACCTCCTCTCACCTTTTCAAAGTAATTAAGAAGCAGCCTTCTGACTTCTGCCTGATTGCCCATGCTAACCACATAATGGTGGGGTTAGCAATTCATTTGCACCAGCATATTATCAGCTTGCTAATAAACTCAACTGTTCATTAATTACTTTTTAAAATGGCACGTGATTTTCTAATTTTGGCACTCTTCCACATAACATTGTATGGGGTTTGTATCAAGAATGTGTAGGAAAGCAATGGGTCCACCCCCCACTGAAAATATGTCCAGATCCTACATCAGACCAAATTTAATACTGCTTTCATTAAATGTGATATATTTCTTCTATATTTTCAATGAAACAATTTCAGAAGCTAAATTGTGCAATACCAGATTTTTTCTGGAAGATATTGTTGCATAAATCATCTTATTGTAAAATGCTTTTCAACTTTATATTCATTTGTCACAACTTAGTTATGTATAATCAGATCAAGGGTGTTGAATTTTGTTTTATATAAACAAGGTCAACAAGTAATGGGTATGACACATGTCTATTCTATGAAAGTAGGACTTTCAAAAAATAATACTGTTCTTAAATTTTGTGTTTATCAAGGCAACTGACCATGTTGTGGACTGGAACATCATCACTAAATTTGTTAACCAATGCCTAGTATGCATTGGCAGATACAGACT